CCTTTCCGAGTGCTGATAGTACTTCAGCCTCGTGTGTTGAAGCTGGAGCTCCACGTGCCGAACAGCTGAGGACGGGTTCCTCATCACACATTGCCTCAACTCTCCCACCGACTGCTCCAAATGAGAGATTGTCGCCTTAACCCTCTTCCTTTCTTCCCTGGTGCACGAATGCAGGTTAGTGTTCAGCTTCCTGACCAGCTCCACAAAGTCACCCCTCCCCTCCGAATGGTGCCGTGTCGTTACTTTTTTTATGAGTGCCTTTACCCCAGGCCTGCCAACGAGCGACGCATGAAGGCGCTGTTATAGTCACAATAGGCTCAGGTGTGCCTATAATGAGAGATAGAGAGCACAGTCAGATTTCCGTCAGACGGCTTCAAATATTGATAACGATCTCCTGGCTGACTCAAATGGTGATCTGTAAGTTGGATCTGGAGCGCGTTGCTGTCGCCTATCAGCAGCAAGTTGAATCATGAAATTCCATGAAGATGTGGCGATGCTATGATGGTTTGACTGGCAGAAGGTATAGGAGCCACTATAGTCTTGGAAGTACAAACTTAGCAAGAAGAATTCGAGAGGGAGATGGTTCCCAGCCTCTACATACCCTAGGAGCCGAGGTCCAGGTTGGTGGTACACCACCACAGAGTCCCAACCACGAAGAGTCTTGAAAGCAACCCTCCAAGGGGCTACACCAAGCGAAATGTAACACTACACGAAGTAGCGTTACTATTTTCACTATTCAATATTTATCCGCGTCCCTTGGGCTTGAAATCTTGAGCTCTTGGTCTTGGATATGCAAGATAAATTCTTCTTGAGTTTATGGGGGCTTGCTGCACACACCTGCGACGCGATGGACACTTCACACCCGACAAAATAGAAAAAACACATGCGACACACAAACGACGACTTGACATGCGAGTTGTAAAAACTCGCTAATGTCTTGACCGACACAAACAACATTGTGATACACCATTCGAACACACACACGAGCATTAGATAGCAATGACATAGACTCACAATTCATTCCATGCCATGCATGCACACACACAAGCAAGGACGACAAGCCGAGTGCAAGCCTTAGGGTTGCACCAACAGGCGCCAGATCCCAGGCCCCACAGTCTCTCCAAAGCCAGCACGGATCTGCAGCCGAGCCCCGCACCAGGGGTCCGAGGCACCAATGGCACCATCACGGCGGCGCGCCTCTACCACATGTGGTCCGAAGAACTGCACCACACGTGCATTTCCAGCCAGTGAGCCTAGTCAAGACATCTTGTCTAAGCACGGATCATCTACGACGTTCAGGTCACCGATAAGTATGAGATGAGCACTACACGGCAGAGCAGTGTCAAAGAGGACTAAGGTATCATGGTAAAAGGGAGCATGGCAACTGCCTGAGCTGGGAAGTAATCAGCTACTAACATTGTCTGCACTCCTCTCCATGTGATGCAGACCCTACCTAGCCTACCCGAGGGATCAGCAAACTCCTCCGAGGTAACAATGTTAGGCCTAAACACTACATGGCCGGCTTTCATGGTAGGTGAGACGACTATAGCGTGCATGTGAGAAGAGAAATTGATGATCTTATTGAAGAAATGAGGGTATACATAGGTGTGAGGGTAAGAAGGTGGGGGTTGGTTGGGACCTTGGCCAAGATTATTGGTCCCCACCAATAATGGAGTTGGGAATTATTGGGGTGTCCAATAATCCCAACCAAGATTATTGGAGGGTCCAATAATCTTGGTAGGATTATTGGGGTCTCCAATAATTGGGAGGTCAAGCCCATTGGAGAGGCCAATAATGGCTAAGGTTGGAATCCAAACAAGGTGGGAAGCCAGCCCCCAACCTAGGGTTACTACACCCTAGTAGAGATAGGTTGCTTACAATGACCTAAGCCTTATAAACGATGTAGGCTAATATAGAATAGGGGAATATTCTAACACATCTCCTTAGCCTACATACTATAGGGCTAGAAGGCTTAGGCGCTTGAAAGAGCAACCCCTGAATTAGGTGCTCCCGCGAGAGGAGGGAGGAGCGAGGCCAGTTAGCCGGAAAAGATTAGCATGAGCGGGCCGAGAGAGAGCTTTGGTAAAGATATCCGCAAGGTTGGCTGAGGAGTCAAACTTGCAGACGGCCAGGTGTCCAGCCTGGACAAGCTCGCGGATGAAGTAGTGGCGCAACTCGATGTGCTTGGAGCGACCGTGGAAGACGGCTTCCTTGATAAGGTGAATGGTGCTGGCATTATCGCACCAAATGATGGGAGAGGGCTGGGGTGCATCCAGCTCAGCGAGGAGGTATCTAAGCCACCATGCCTCCTGGGCCGCCATGGTGACGCCGTAGAGTTTGGCTTCGCAGGAGGAGAGAGCTATGGAGGAGAAGCTGGTGGAGCGCCATGAGATGAGACCACTGCCAAGGGAGAAAGCCATACCCTTGAGAACTGCGGCGGTCGGGTTGGGAGCTGGCCCAAGACGAGTCACTGTAGCCAATGAGCTCAGGAGGGGAGGGTCCTCCGAGGGTGAGAACATAGTCCTTGGTGCCTCACAGGTAGCGTGGAACATGCTTGGCCGCCTGCCAATGCTCGAAAGTGTGCTTGCCAGCGCCGACAAAGCGTGCCAGAATGCTGATGGGGTAGGCGAGGTCAGGACGTGTACACATCATTGCGTACATCAAGGACCCAACGAGCTCGGCGTATGGTTGAGTGGAGGAGGAGGGGGTGGCGGCAGGGGAGAGCTGGTGACCGACGGGAAGCGGCGTGGAGATGGGTTTGGCTGTGGCCATCTCGAACCGCTCAAGGACCTTTTGGACGTAGAAGGCTCGAGAGAGAGAGCGGGAGAGAGAGAGAGAGAGAGAGAGAGAGAGAGAGAGAGAGAGAGAGAGAGAGAGAGAGAGAGAGAGAGAGAGAGAGAGAGAAGAGAGAGAGAGAGAGAGAGAAAGAGAGAGAGAGAGAGAAAGAGAGAGAGAGAGAGAGAGAGAGAGAGAGAGAGAGAGAGAGAGAGAGAGAGAGAGAGAGAGAGAGAGAGAGAGAGAGAGAGAGATGGTTTTCGCTGCGCGGTCACGGGTGATCTCCATGCCGAGGTAGTTGCGGACCTCTCCCAGGTCCTTGTATGTGAGGCACCTCTGAAGCTCGTCCTTGACCTGCTGAATTTTAGCGTCATTGTCGGTGGCGAGTAACATATCATCGACATAGACGAGAATGTAGAAGGGGGAGGGAGAGGTGCGGAGGAAGAGGCTGGTGGCAGCCGCAGAGGGGCGAAAGCCAAGGTCTCAAAGGGTGTTGGAGAGCTTGGCGTGCCATTCCTGAGGAGCCTGCTTGAGGCCGTACACAGGGCGGCGGAGCTCCCAGATAGTATTAGGGTCAAAGGGGAGATGTCAGCCCTTGGGGCACTCCATGAAGATGCGTTCATGAAGCTCGCCCTGCATAAATGTCGTCGTGACATCCATGGAGTGAAGGATCATGCCACGTCGACCGACAAAGTCGAGGAAGACGCGCACAAATGGCGGTGTCGCGGTCGGTGAGTATGTCTCAAAGAAGTCGTGACCATACCGCAGCGTAAAACCTTTAGCACGGTAACGAGCTTTGTAGATTGGGTCATCGTCGGGAAGGAGCTTCACACGAAAGACCCACTTGCCCTTGACCACGTTGGTGTTGGGGGGGCGAGGGACATCGACAAAGGTGCCATTGCGTACGAAGGCTTCGTTCTCCTTGAGGACGGCCTTTCCCCAGTGAGTACTGTCGGGGCAGGTCATGGCTTCATCATAGTCTCTGGGCTCGAAGATGATGGGTGCGCCTTCGAAGACCAAGACTGGCGCCCAGCGACGTTGAAGGCGACGGCATAGGAGGAGGGAAAAAGGTGTTTGCACGGCTGGACTGCTGCGCTGCTGCACGGCGGGGATGGTGCTGCAGAAGGAGGGGCGGAGGGGGTGCTGTCAGATGGTATCTGGATGGAGGGAGGGTGAGGGGACTGAGGTCGGGAGGTGGGGACAGGGATGGGAGGACCAGAAATGGGATCCATGGACCGTGTATATGGGCAATGTCGAAGGACAAGAGGAGGTTGAGCCTGGGCAGGAGCTGTTAGTATTAAGGACGGAGTCTAGGTGAACTTAGGAGCTAGAATTACTCAAAATATAAATCCGAAATTCTGGACAGAAAAGTCGTCTCCACAAGAAACGTCGTCGACAAAAACCTAGCTGTTAGAATGTCGCGAAACTCAAACATGTTGTAGCTCTTAATCTCAGCTACCATTCCCAATTTGAATCACGCTGATTGATGAAGTATTCGTGACGCTATGATTTTCGACGCATAGGGGGGTATGCTGTAGGAGAAGAACTTTAACTCAATCTCAAAAGTTCAATTATGGTTCAAGAATCTCACAAGGAATTAGAAGAGCAAGAGAAAGGTTGGGATAGAAAGAGAGGGATAAGAGGGAAGGTCTCAAGAGATTCCCCAACCAAGGAAACCCCATAAGCACAAAGTTCCCTCCCTATAGGAACCTCGACTTTGACCTTTGTCGCTTCCCAACCAATCCATCCAAGTTGGCCACCCTTGCCAACCTAGCTTGGTTGTTCCCAACCAATTTGCAGCTGTTACAGTAGAGTGACGAATTTTCCCAACCCCCAAAGGTCCCAAATCCATATAGAGTCACCCCACAACTTCACTTTGTAACCGCCGCAATTGTCATGCAAGCTCATGAACTTTGAATCTTCATAGCTTTCGCGTTCTTGCTCCGATTGAAGGGATTCTCGTTGCGTCGGAAAGATCTTCTCAAGATCTATCATCACAAAATACCTGCTCAAACAAAATAACACAAAACACATTCCCAAACTCCAGAACACACCACACACAAATTTTTGCACACGTTCAAACCACACATGCAAGTTGAAAACATAGGATGGGAGGCAGACAGAATGTGATAGCATATGATGACATCACACAACAATCTCCCCCTTTGGCTGCCAATCATCATCCACCATACCAACATCTCAATCATGCATACTCAATGCACACTCATCCTAGCAAGCTTCATGCCCTTCCAATGATCCGCTTCCGCCAGACGCTTAGTGAAAATATCTGCTGCCTGCTGATGGGTCTTCACTATCTCCAGCCGCACCTCCTTATCAAGGAGTCTCCTCACCCAATGCCACTTTGGTCTTATGTATTTTGTCAGCCCATGCAGACAAGCATTCTTGGCCAGCTTCACTGCAGACTCATTGTCACAGAACACAACTGTCGGCTCCTCCTGACCAACTCCCAACTCCTCCAACAAGCGCCTTAGCCACACCACTTCCTTTGCCCCATGGTGTAAGGCCATGTACTCAGTCTCACATGAGGACAATCCCACTTCATTCTGCTTCTTGCTGCGCCAGCTCACAGCACCACCTCCCAGCAAGCACACATAACCCCCAATGCTGGTGCCATCCACTTTCACTGAGTTGAAGTTCACATCAGTATAGCAGCTCAAGAGCATCTCACCACTCCAATCCCACTGATGCCGTAGCACTCACATAGCGGACCAACCTCTTGGCCGCTTCCAGCTGTTCATGACTAGGGCGTGAAATCACACTAGCCAGCCGTGATGTAGCAAATGCAATGTCAGGCCGTGTATGATTTGCAGCATAGTTCAGCGACCCAACCATCGAATGAAACAGCTTCCTGTCACTCTCATCCACTACCTCCTCATCAGCACATGGCTCCACAGCAAACCCAGAAGGTAGTGGTGGCTGGCTTTTCCCCATCTTGCAGCCCATACTTCTTAGCCAGCCCCTCATACTACTTCCTCTGGTGCAACCTCAGCACACCCTTCTCCACATCTCTCTCCACATGCATCCCCAAGTGCACACCCCATCTTCCAGAAGCCTCCAACTTCCCCATTTTCTCCTTAGGCACATGAAACACCACCATGCACCCAAATGCCCTCAGCATGATCACAGCTGGAGCACTCCCATACCACTTGGTATATAGGATCAGACAGCCCTGCACGCCCAAGGAGAGTGCGTGCCCCCTCCTGCAGGGTCCTGTTGAACCTCTCAGCTACGCCATTCTGCTGCGGGTTGTAGGGCACTGTCAGTTGATATTGGATCCCCTTCCTCTTCAACTCCCCCTCAAAATCAGCTCCAATGAACTCCCCACCATTGTCACTGCGGATCACCTACACCTTGTGTCCTCATTCCCTCTGAGCTCTAGGCATCCACTCCTTAAGGACAGCCGCTGCCACCTCCCCCTTGCTCTTCAAAGGGTAAACCCTTACTGCTCGAGTGTGGTCATCCACAATTTTCAAGAAATAGCGGCTGCGTGAGAGGGAAGGGGCACTTGTGGGTCCCACCACATCCATGTGCACAAGTGCAAGTGGGGTATTGGCTGGTCCTAAAGTGTTGTTGAAGGGGAACTTGGAGAACTTGGTCTCCAAGCATGTAGGGCAGCTCCCAATCTCCTTCACTACCCTTGACCTCCAATCCTTGCACGCTCCCATCCTTCACCAACTTGCCTTGGAGGCAAGCTTCCCTGCTGTGTGAGAGCGGTCGGCGAGGTGTATGAGGACATCAGCCTTTGAGCCCCAGACGCGAAGGGGAGAAATATCGGGCTTGGAGGATGTCCAAAGCTCGGTAGGGGTAGTGGAAGGACGGAGGGGGTGGGGGTAGAGGTTAGTTAGGAGGGTCGCGTAAAGGAGGGCATAGCCCCAAAGAGAGGGCGGGCACGAGGCATGGACTAGGAGACATCGAGCAGTTTTAGTGATCTCCCGAATCCGAGCCTTGGCCAGACCTTTCTGCTCTGGGGAGTGTGGAAGGATATGGGCATGGCGAATGCCATGGGAAATGCAGTATGAGGAAAACTGCTGGTTTAGGAATTTGCAGCCTCCATCGGAGTGGAAGCGATGAACAGGGCGTTTAAAGTGTCTACGGGCCTGCTCTGCCCAAGCGATGATCGCAGCCGGAGCCTCGGCTTTCGTTCGAAGGAGAGAGACCGAGGTATACCGGGAGTGATCGTCGACGAGGACAAGAAGGTAGCGGTGACCCTGGCGGGTAGGGGAGGGGTTGGGTCCCCAGAGATCCATATGGACAAGGTCCAAGAGCTCAGGGCCATATGAGGGGTGGCTTTTATGAGGGAGTTGTTTCAGCTTAGCCTGAACACAAATGGTGCACGGAGGGGCAGGAGAGGGAGGGAGAGGGGGAAGGGTGAGTGGAAGGCCTTTGAGAAGGCCAGTGGCAACAGTGCATTGGAGGGTGGCAAAATTGGGATGCCCAAGGCGGTGGTGGAGGAGTAGGGCGGGATGGGAGAGATCCCGAAAGTGGCATTGGGATGGGGGGTGCTGGAGGAGAGGAGGGACTGGTGGGTGGGGGTTGAAGAGGAAAAAGTGTAGGGGGAGCGGAGGGGGGAAGAGAGACAGCCTGACACAGGGCGGGACGAGGAGTGCGAAGGGTGTACATACGAGAGGTAGGACATAAGGGGACACGGGTGATGAATCGATTGGAGGTGGATTGATACAAGTCATAGTGGGAAGCATGGCTGGGGTAGATCGTAGTCACCCCGGCACGTTGGAGGGCACCTTGGGAGACAAGGTTAGTACAAAGTGAGGGGATGTGAAAACCTGTGACGGAGCCAGAGGGAAAAAGCGGACAGGGGAGGGTGGAGGTGTGAGTGGTGGTGATGGAGAAACTGGAATCTGCCCCAAGGATGGTGGAGGGGGAGGTGAGGGGAGCAAGATGACCGGCGTCACGGAGGACTATGGCGCTTGCTCCACTGTCAATTACAAACTCAAGGAGAGGGGAGGAGTGGGTCCGGGAATACTGGAGAGAAGCCTCATTAATAGATTCGGGATACAGAATAGTGGGATCAGGCTGAGTAACATTACCTAAGAAATCAGCAGAGGGGAAGGGAGTGAAACCGGGAGGACCAGAGGGAGTCTGGGCAGTTGTGGCCGGCATAGCACTCGAAGCAGAGGATTGTTGAGATGGGGGAGGAGGAGCTGCTGCTGCTGTTGCTGCTGTTGCTTCTGTTGCTGCTGTTGCTGCTGCTGCTGCTCGTACTGCTGCAGGTACTGCTGCTGAAATGGCTGTTGCTGCTGGGGCGGCTGCAGCTGCCACTGGGGGTACTGTTGCTGCTGCTGGGTGTACTGCTGCTGCTGCTGTGGAGGGAGAAGGGATTGAACCTGCTGGAGGACTTGGGGGGAGAGGTGCTGTGCCAGGATCTGGCAAAGGGAGGACGGCTGATAGGCGGGAGAAGTGCGAACATCAAGAGTAGTTTGGAGGGAGTCATGGATGACCAGCAAGGTGGGATACCAGTGTTCCCCCAGTCAAACCATTCATCCATAAGTGCCTTGAAGCAGGTGGTTGTGGGATGAGTAGTTTGGAGGCAGCGCTGACCTTTGTTGGTGCCGTAACGAATGAGATACTGAC